CTCTACTATGGGAGGGAATTCATAAAAAAAAAAACATTGAAGATGGGGAAGAAAATAAAACGAGAGATAAATAAGGAAGAAATTGCATTTTCCATATAAAATGTATGTTAAAGAGACACTGGAAAAATCTGGAGCTGTTTTCCCTGAAGAAATAAACAATTATACAAAACAAATCCATAGAAGTTATTAAAACTATACAAGAAAATAACAAAGATCATCACATGTTGTCTGATAGCATAGATGTTTCACAAAAGCCAAATAAAGCTTGTTGTGGAGGGCTTATTGAGAAAAAAAAGAACTTAAGGGTTTGTTATAAATTATGATCAATATTTTAGTTTTTTTTGTCTTAACAAGCCTACATATATTTGAGACCACATTTCCGAATCATCTCCTGAATAAATGCGTTGTTGTTATGAAGGACCCTCTGAATTTTACATACTTACATTCTCTGTTCATACAATCATGTAGAAAAATTAGGATCCTACTAAAGACAATGTTGTTGTTTTTTTTTTTAAACAAAATTATATTTAATATCAATTTAAACAAGAGTAGAGAATAAAGTACCTTAATATAAATTACAATAAAAATGATTTTGTAACATAAAACAAAACAGTGTGATAAGACACTGGAATAGCAGTATGTTTTATTTCTGCTCAGCATTTTAAAGGAGTTTGTTTTCTTTAACCACTGACATATAGTTCAGTGTCTCCCTTATTGTTGAAAGAGTTATAACTATGGTAAGATAAAAAGACTCACCTGAAGCATTCAGAGAGAAGGCGTTAAAATGTATAGCCTATATAGCCTAACTTTAAACTTGAGAGCCTAACATTGTGGTAATGGATTCAAAGATTCATAGCCACAAGATGCAAATAGAAGTCTTTAAATATATCCTATAGCCAGTAGAGAACCAACAGGCTCCTGCTACTGTTAACATAAATATCAAACAGAGAATGCAAAAGTTTACCTTTCATTGAAGGTGTACACAAAGGAAGTTTTGCTTTTTGAAAGGATGAGTCTTATATAAAATATTTTGGCCAGAAGACAACGTGACATTTTGTGAATAAAAAAAACAATATTCCAGCTAAATTACCTCATACCAACTTTGGAGCATGGGGGTGAAAGTGTCATGGTTTGAAGATATTTCTGCTTGTTATACTGCTAAAGCAAAACCCAACACGCTTATCAGCATAGAATCTAGTATAGATTCTGCAATGTCTCAGTGGGTGTATGAGGGAAATGTTTGTTTTTTTTAAAAAAGGACCAGAACCAGAACCCAAAGCAATAAAATGTCAGAAAAAAAATCCAGAAAGGAAATCTTCCAAAGGCAATTTAAGAATCAAGAAATGGATCAAGTTGCACTTTGTACTGTGGAGGTAGTCGAAGTATCTTGACTCAGTTCTTTAAATTAAGTCATCTAAAAAATTCTGAGTCATCCCATGATGTGATATTTACGTGTTTTTGTAATGAACTAAGACAGTACAATCTGAATACATGGCATGTAAAAGCGACTTCTATGGCCAAACATAGCTTTAAAACTTGAGAGACAAAAAAAAAAACCTAGATTAAATGATCAAATCTTGAGATCAAAAAGTCTAAGTAGAAAAAAAGTATTCTTGTCAATAACTTTCAGACCTTGGCTATTATAATGTAAGTCATAGTAACACTATATTTTCATATGCAGAAGTCATTGATTGTTTTGCTTGTCTGTACCTGTTCTTCCTATCATCTTTCATAATCACCACATTAGTGGTTCCTGCTTGAAGTTACAGTACAGAGATACATTCATTTTATATGTGTTCACCTTTTGGGAACCACATGTTCATTTAGAAATTGTCTTAGAACATTATGCAGACTCTTACCCCTGAGGAGACTAAGTTGATAACCTCTGGGTAATTACATCTAAAGCTGAAACATAAAACAGTTGGAGAAACCAGCTGTTATTACTCAGCTTGCAAAATTTAAAGTACAATGTCGGTTTATCTGAAGTTTCTATGTGGCCAATGGATACTTGAAAACACCCAAATCCATTGGCCATTGTTCAGATATTGATCCATTTCTTTTTTTTAAATATATAACAAAATAAATATAAACTGGTGATAATCTGATTTAGGATTAGTTTTTAATCCAAATGTTTTACCTTTTTTTTGCTATTTATATAAGATGTAAGTATGTAATCATTAATGGATGGAAAATCACTGATGCATGAAATAACAACTAAAAATACATTTTTTATGTGAAGGTTTTTTTTTTGGTAAAGATTATTTATGGAGTATTTAGATATGTTTTCTTTGAATTTTAAAGCATTTAAAAACGTTTTCTCTGGTCAAAACCAGGATTTATTAGGACTGACAAATGAACAAGAAAGGAACAACCTAACTTAACACAATCTCAAATTTGTTTTTAATATAAACCCAAATTCAACATAGAAGAGAATAACCTTCCAGTAGTTGCAAGTTGCTTATTTGTTGTTGTTGTGACTTAGGTTTGGAATCACTGATACCCCTTTCCCACTGGTAAAAAAAAAAAACATTTTAACCCAGGAGCAATTGGCTTTTAGTGACAGAGGGAACAGCTCACTGACGCGTGTCTACCCGGGTCAAATGGTTCGACAAGCGACTCCCATTAAAATGACCTCGGCTCTGATCGGCATACTTTGGGAACACCAGAGACAGGCTGACCCGCTACATTATGTGACACCATTGAGCACAACATACAGACATCAACACACAGCGGCAGTTGGTTCTGATCTAACAAGCCAAAACAACTCTGTTTATGATTCGGAAGGACAAAAGAGTGAAATAATAAAGAATACTGTCTACACCCTGGCTCCCGTACATGCTGCTCTCCATTATTTACTTCCCTGATTTCCAGCGCACTGTTGACATCATTAACGCTGACCCAGTGTGATGCCTCACACACGCAGAGACAGTGGCCACGCAGCTTGCCAGCAGGGGTTCAGACTTGGCTTTTCGGTCAAAATGGGAAAAGAGCCAAATGCCGATTGTTAGCTGTCAACAGGTTTTTGAAAAACCTGTATTTTCAGTGGTAAAGCGGCTTCAGTGACCTTAGACCAGTGCTCACAGATTAATAGACCAGGGTTCGTATCCGGACCCACCTGCTGGCTAATCCAGACCCAACCTGATTTAAAACATTTATAAATTACCATATGTTGTCCGATGAAATTAAGTAACTTCATTTGCGCTGCTTCTCCTGTTAATATGGTAAAGCACTCCGGAGCTTCTGGAGGTCTGGGATACAAATCAGCCAATAAGCTGTGTCAGTCTGGTTCACTTCTGCGAGCCACTTTTAGACACAGCAGGCAAACCTGTGGCAAGCCGGGTGAGGGGAAAGAGAAAGCAGAGAAAGCGTGGACTGCCGGAAGAATTGCGGTGAACTAGTGAAAAAAGTGAAATAGTGTGCTCAAAGATGACCTTGCACATTTTGAGTATGTTTGGATCAACCTGCTGCTGTGAAGCAGGATTTTCCCCATGAACAGAATCAAACATAAATATGGATCCAGGCTCACAAATGAGCACCTGTGCTTGAGAATGGCTTTGTTGTGTTCAAACCCAAGTTTAAAGCCTTGCAGGGCAGCCTAAAGCCCACCGCTCTCATTAAGCAATAAAAAAGAAAAGGTGTTTTATAAAATATATGAATCAGGAAATTTTCTATACACCAAACTGAATGATTGCTGTTCTCTACTTCAAAAGCAATTTAGATTTTAAAATGGGAAAATGTTCTAGTTTTTTATTTAAATTTTTTTAAATTCAATGTATGCATGGATGCATAAAAACCTAATTTTATTTCAGTGTTAAATTCTGTTTAAAGTAACGGATTATAATTAAAAATGTCTCCGGACCTTTACTGGTTGATGATTTTCTTTATTCGGACCTGCTGATTTTTAATTGGTTACCCCTGCTCTAGACCTTAATACTCCGACTGTTGGGAGCTGGAGAAGTTCCACCTTCCTCCATCAGAGTCCGCCGTGGATCCTCCTGAGCTGAGCTGCCTGCACATCTGTGACTGATCATCTCATCAGGAGGACCACAGTATTTAAGCTGTCTTCAGAGCTTGCCTCAACGCCGCAGTGTTTAATCAGTTTGGTTAGCACCTTAGCCTAGAACCTCCTGAGAACTTTGCTATCTCTGAGTCCAGTTTGGATTCTAACCTTTTGTCTCTGCTTCCAGGTTACCTGTTTTTCTCCTGTGAAGCTCTGGAAGAGCTTAACCTGCCGAGCCTGCCCTCCGAGCCAAACCTGAAGACTCTCTTCTGGATTTCCAAGCAGCTCTGGATTTAGAGCTGGAAACTCAAACCAAGGTCAACACCCTCACTAGAAGTAAGACGCTGAAACAGTTATCGGACTCTGCTGAACCAAACCATCTCCGGACCCAACAGTTCCTCTCCCAAAGTCTCTTCTACGCATCTCAAGGTAAACCAGAAACTCTCAAGATCAATTCCAACCAAGCCAACGCTAACTGAACTGTCTCCCTCACAGACTCCAGTGAACCAGTCCCCAGGCCTGAACCAGCAAACTGTACATTTACTACGTGCTTGTGTAACAATAAACTTGTTAATCTTTTCCCTGGGTCCGTTGTGTTCTGCATCTTGGGCCTCTCAGTAAACCCATCATGACACCGACCACCTTATTTGATAGTAGGTGTATGTGTAATTGATTTTAAGTGACCTAAAGATAATTATAGTAGGTTGCATCAATAAGCCTACCTCTTAGATTAATCTCTAAGATCATTAGTGGCCTCCATCTGATGACCCCTAAAAAAAATCTTGTGAAGAGAAATCTGTTGGCCGAGTGGTTTTGTATCTGATTCTTCTCCAAGAAGAATAAGGTTCAGCCTGCTGAAGCAACAGCAGATTCCTCCTCCAGGCCTGAAAGCAGCCATTCATTGATTGACACACTCTGGGCGAATAAATTGAAACCTCAAGCTGTGACGAGCCCAAAATAGCAGGAAGCTGATGGTGACCCGCAGTCACTAGTGCCTCATGTCAGCAAGCCTAAAAAACTTGGCAGGACATTCTGAACGGAGAAGCCACTTACAGGTGTTGTACATTTCTCTAACATGTTTTTGAAAGTGCGAGCTGATATACGTTGATGCTTTGACCACATTAGTGCAGCAGCAGGTTAATTTCCTTGTTCATAAAGAAGCTCTAATGTTTGATGGGTTTTATAAAAAAGAGATGCAGCTATTTTTTTTTTAACCTGCTGTTCTTCAGAGGTTGTAACAGAGGTCTGTATGTTTGGACAGAACAAGAACCAAAATGATCAGTGGCGTAAGGGCATAAAATCTGTTTGCCAAGTCACTGAGCTCCTTGCTTTTGCCAGGCAGAGGGGGGTGGGTGGGAGAAAATACCGTTCAACTGGCTGGTATTTATAGATATGTGAAGAACTTGTGCACAGGCTTGGTCGAGGTGCTGACGACGTAAAACAAGAGGACGATTCCAAAAGTCGAGTGTCAGGGCACACAGATAAAAATACCCAGTGAAAGATGGGCCTGGTCATTAGTGGAGCAGTGTGGCATGTGACATGGCAGCATTTCAGATGTGATTTATGATTATTACTACTGTTAATCTATACCTTACCTCTTCCTGTGCCTGCAATATGAAATGAGTTTGCCAGATGTTATTGTGGACAGGGGTTTATGTCAGAAAAATTTTGGACTTCAGATCTTACCAGAGTGCAAAATTCAACAATAGATTAATCAGGAAGGAGGTGCAATGTGTAAACCATCACAGGCTTTGGTGATAATGAGCTCGCTACAGGTCTTTGCCCTCTCTAACAACCAGAGCAAGCTGCCAAAAAGAGAAACAAAGGAGACGTTTAACGCATCGTAAACTCAAATAATGGTCTGCTGCAAAGGCGCTGCTCCAGTAACTTTAAAACCAAGACATGACACTGAATAAAGAGGTGGAAAAACAAGGTCCTTTGGCATGTAGACATTGCCACATGTCCTTTATTAATTCATTTAAGTCTCCCTTATTTTTTAACAGGTGGCACAAACATTGAAAAAAACAAAGACTCAGAAGGATGTACTTTTTTCTTTATTCACTTATTTGGCATACTGTCTGCTTATAGTCTTTCAGAAAAGCATTCAAACTCCTTCAACTTTTGAAATGTTGTAAAATTACAACCTCAAACTTTAGTGTAATTATTATTACATTTTCTCCAAAAATCAGTCCTGATTGACCTCGGCACATAAAGAATGACCCAAACAAGTCATAACAAGACCATTTCAATATTTTTCACTCTATATGATGGATTCATATTCATATTAGACTGAGAACTTTAATGAATTTCTGTTAAGTTTACAGCTTCCAGTAGGTAGATCTCTTGCAGCTTTGCAGATTTGGAGAAAAAAAAATCCTTAACTATTCTTTGAGGAAGCAGCTGAAGCTCATCTAAAGTGGAAGGGGAATATTTGTCTTTCCATTAATTATCAGCTCTGACTTTGACTAGGCCATGCTTAATCACGATTAAGCTTTGATCTAAACCATTCTTTAATACTGTGGCTTTGACTTTCTTTATTAATAAGGTGTTTTAGAATCTAATGGTTTTGACTTCATTAAATGTAGGAATCTTAGTGTAAAAAGGCCTGAATAGAAATACATGTATAGTTTACCCATTTAGACTTGAGTTTGTAACAAGCTGGACATTTATTCATCTCCTTTGTTCTGCTTCACAATTACAGTGTACTATGTGTTGATCTTTTACACAAAATCTCTGTAAATACATTGAGGTTTTAGGTTGTAACAGGACAAAATGTAATGAGGTACAGAGTAAACAGATTTCAAAGCTTTGTGTGTGGAGAACCATGAGATTTCCCGGATGGTTTTTGTTAAGTGGAAAAATGTTTTCTGTGTGTTTCTTAAAAAGCCTGCAGAGGGATATATATCACACTTTTTGTTGAATCTGTTCCCAGTCTATTGTCCCTACAGGCAGGTGATGGAGCAGATGTCTTACTTATTGAGATTGTGATCAAGTGAGTGTGAGAGCAGCTTAGAGGGAAAGTGAAAAGCACAGAAAATTGTGAGCGATGCTGTCCAACTTTGTGCGGAAGCCTGTGAGTCTGTATGTGAGAGAGGGGTGGGGTGGGATATCAGGGCTGCAGAATTAGTTTACCATCAGCTGCGTTAAGGCTTTTGCGCTCCGTCTGGATCCCAGCTCAGGACTGCCTCCAGCTCTCCTCCAGCTGTCTTCTCCTAATTGTGGTCCAGGACTGTTTTACTACAGCAGAATGAATGTGGCCACAATCAGAAATCTGGGCTTTATGTTCACTGAATGTTTTATAGTTATGGATTCAGTGTTTAAGCAATGAAACAGTCACACGAAACAACTGTCCCTGCCATGCTATTCCCAGCTGTAATAATTACATCAAGCTGAAAGAGGAAAGAAAAAAGAAAAGTTTTGAAACTGAGCTCACATGGTGACAGTTACAGATAACCTGTTGCTCTGACAGCCAACCTTTGCACTAAAATACTAATGATACTTTAAAGAAAAATTATCTTGAAAAGCACTGTTTTTATTACCAAGAAGATCAAAACTTAATTATAAAGTACATTTTATTTGAGAAAAATATCACAATATGTAGAGATTTGACTCACATACTGTGCATGGATTGGCCATATGATTTCATGGTAAAACATTTAGCCTTTGATAGCCTTTGCTACAAAAGTCAAATCACTTGTGAATTTCACTGTTGAGAACCAAGTATGAGGGAGCTGTACTTTAATGGGGAAAATATACCCCAGAAAGAGATTTGGCTTGAGATGTGACAATGAAAGAAGATAAAAGGTCTGTCTGCTTGCATATTTCAACCTTTAAGTAATGTTTGAGGCACATGTTGCTTTTTACTGCAAAAGCTGTGTTATTTAACTGCCTTTGTATACTCCGCGACACACCAACATTTACATTACTACGGCAAGCAAAGTTCATTCTTACTGCGCCATGTATTTGCTGGGTGCTTGAAAGACACAGAAAAATTGGAAAAGATAACAGAATCAATGATAATAAATAATAAATGTAACCACAATATATAAAGCATTTAAAAGGAAAAAAAATAATGATTGAACATTGAAAAAGTAACTGCTAAATTATTATTTAAACTTTTTGTCCTGTGCAATGTTCTCAGTCCTGGTACAGTATATGGGACTTAATCTTTTCTGCACATTTCAGATTTTTGGAGGAGTTGATTTCAGAGCTGCAGGACTGTAGACACTAGAGTATGCCTCTCGGTGTTTGGTTCTGGTCCTGGTAACACTGACTAAGAAGTCTTATGTAACTAATGGGGGGTAACATGGTTCTAGACCTTAAAGTCCAGCAACAAAATATTAAACTCTATACTTTTACACAAAGGTAGACAGATAGTGAAGCTCTCTTGGATAACGTCAGAAATAACACCCAACAAGGTAAAATATTTAGGATCAACAACACAGATAACAAAGTTTATTGCAGCCTGATCAAAAATAAAATAATGATTGAAGGAGTGATAATTGCAGTTAAAACAAAAGTATCTGAAGTAATTCATGAAAAGGTGAGAGGAGCAAAAGTCAGAGTGAAGTCAGTGAAGATGTTTCAAATGTCAGCCATATGGTCATAAAACTGCAATATTGAAAGGTGGACAGGTTCAGGTGGTAAACATGAATATGGAAAATCCAAAAGAGGCACTCAGAGCAAATTTTGTAATCATGGAGAAGAATATATTGGTGCTTCTCAATGGTATGAAGTTACTAAAAGGGCAGAAGAACTTCAAATAGGACAGTTTTTGTCTTTTTATTATGCCCTTAACCAGCCTCCAGTTCAGTTGGTGGCAGTAATGAATCATAGTTAGTTTGCAGCCTGCCAAAAAACTCAAACAAGAAGAGGAAGTAGAAGAAAAAAAAAACATCTCCTCCCACCCACTTGGAAAAATAGCAGGAAGTCAACAACAAACTTGAATATCTGGGTTCTGTACTTTACTACTTGAAGGATAATCCATTAACTCGGGCAGTTGTAAGTGTAGCTGGTAAGTCGTGTGAGTTTTATTTAAAATAGTTTACTTTCAACTCTAAGAGCCTCGTTAGAGTGACTGAAGTGAATGTAAAAGTAAAAGATTCTGCCTGAGCAAATCAACAAACTAAAGAAGAAAAGAAACCAAGAAAATGGCTTCAAACATCCCGCAGTCTGAGGCAGACTGCACCTGCCCTGTGTGCTGTGATATATTTGATGACCCTGTTTTGCTGCTGTGCGGTCACAGCTTCTGTCAGCATTGTCTTAAGGAGTGGTGGAGAAAGAGCAAACAGAGGACATGTCCGGTTTGTAAAGAAATATTTCAAATGACTAAGCCACCAAGAAATCTGGCTTTAAAAAACCTGTCCGAGTCCTTGAGACAGGAGAAGAACAAGCAGGCTGGGTCCAAGGAGTTTTGTTCCCTGCACGGTGAGAAGTTTAAATTATTCTGTCAGGATCACCAACAACCGATCTGTGTGGTTTGTCGGGATGCAAAAGCACACAAAAAACACAACTGCATTCCCATTACTGAAGCAGCAGAGGAGTGCAGAGTAAGTAGATATTTAAAAAAGAAAAAAATATCAGTACATGCTTTTATTGGTTGTGAAACATCCAGTGGTTATCATATGTCAACACGTGTTATTTTCTCCAGGCTAAAGTCCAGCTCAATCTGCTTAATCTAAAAACTAAGTGTGGAACTTTTGAGAGGAAAAAACAGCAGTGGGATAAAATGGCCAATCACATCCAGGTAAGATGAAATTTTTAAAAATATAACAGTACAAGAAAAACATCGATGCAACAAAATCATATTCTTCTTTTCTTCTTAATATACTCCTCAGCTCCAGGCTCAGCGGACAGAGAAGACCATCAGAGGAGAGTTCGAGAAACTTTACCGGTTCTTACGAGCGGAGGAGGCTGGCCGGATAGATGCATGTCGGAAAGAAGCAAAGGTTAAGAGTGACGCAATGAACCTAAGGCTTGTAAACCTAAATGAAGAGATTTCTGACCTCATGGAAAAAATCAAAACCCTTGAAGATGAGATGAAATTAGACGACCTCTCATTTATGCTGGTAACTGACAAATAACACGGTTATACCTTCTTAGAATTTTTTTATTTTTTTTAACTAAATCAAATGTTAATTTGCTGTCCTATTGTTTGGTTTTCTTCCAACAGAATGTGAAAGCAACAATGCTAAGGTAAGTTTCAAGGACTTCTCTAATTATGACCAATTGTGGTATTTTGGTTTCAGATTATTGCAAAAGAAGTTGTAGCCCAAAGAACATTTTTCTGAACAATAAAGGAAGTTACTTTTTCAGTGAAACACAAGTTCAACCAGAGAACTAGAGCATTCTTCCATCTGCTTCATCTTAAGGTGATATCCCAGTTTCTCAATGATAAGGCGCATGCAATGACATTATAAAAGTACCCACTGGATCTCTTCAATAAAACCACTGAGTTAAATTGTGACCATAAACAAATACTGAGATAATGGAGAAAGAAAGTACAGGGATCAGAATCAGATAAACTTTTTGCCAGGTTGTGTTTTACACATATGATAGATTTGCTTTGGTTAAAAGATGCTACAAATAGACTACACGCAATTGACCTTAATTGATTTGTAAAATAGACCACAGTGGCAGATATTTAAATACAGTTACAACAATACGAAACAAGATTAAATACTACACGTCTGGTCATTGTTTTATTTCCAATGGGAAAAAGTTAGCAGGGGACTTTGGCGTTTTTCCTGAGACTCCCTGCAGGTAGGAAGCTGTTTTTAAGGAAAGAAGGTTCGATCTTGATGGACCACAGCCTCCTGGTAGAGGAGCATTATTTCTTGTTTCCAGGGAAGATGGGTCTTTCCTGCTCTGAGTCATTTCGGCATACTGTTTCTGGAGAGGAGAAAGATTGTAAGCAATGATCCTCCCTGAAGTGGTGAATGATACACTACGACCTGCCTTTATTCCTGTTGGTGGTAGCAGTGTACCAGATGGAGGACAGCCTCAACGATGGCAGAGTAGGAGTGCACAACCATCGTCTTTGGCTGGCTGAGCTTCTCCAGCTTCTGCAGGATCTCATGAATGGAGAGTTGTGCAAGATGACCGGGGAGGGTGGGATTGTGCTATTCTAAAGCTCAAGACTGTTCTGGCTGCAGCAGGCAAAATGATGAAAAATTTCCCCCTATAGGCATGATTAGCTCTTGGTTGTCTAATGCGCAACAATCCAGTCAAAAATCCCAAAAAAGTAAATCCCTCCAAGATATCTTGTGACAGCTATACCTTTTTTCATTTGGCCTTTGTTTTCAAATATCTGTTTATGACAGCTGAATGAAAAATCTTTTTTTTTTCACAAAACATTTAACTCACACATAAAAAACACTTTTTGCACTCTCTAGCACTCTATATATCTTTAAATACCACAGAGCTTTTAGTTTAAAAATAAAGCCGGCATATATAAACAAGTTGAGTTACAGTACAAGCAACTACATCAGCAATATCCACACAGTTCCCTCTGAAAGAGTAATGATGGACACACTTTAACAAGTTCTTGGCCATGAAAATTCTTCAAATTTAAATGATGTGTCTCATCTTCTAAATGTTCTCCTCAGAAATTGTTTCTGGATCTGTTTTAAGTTTTAAAATCCAGCGGCTGACTAGTCGCACAAACCATATGTCGTAATTATATTACATTCTTCTGCCTCAAAGCTGTTACGCTTTGAAATAACTCTACCAAGGTTTGTAAACAAATCAAGGACGTCCCAGGGTAAGGAGGATTTCCATCCTTCTCAATGCAACACTCCTTTCATAAAGTCCAAAGATGCCCCAAGGATTCCCATATTCTATTTCCCACCTCAAAGATTTTTTGTCACTGATTGCTGTAGTTTGATAAAAAAAAAAAATATTTGTAAAAGGAAATCAAATGCATGTATAAACAGTCAAACCGATACTTTAAGGTTAAAGATTTCTGTGTTTCTTTCTTTAAAATGTGAGTATTTATAATCTTTTACTTCTCTGTGAATTCTTCACAATTTCAGATCTCTGTGTACACTGCCAGAACCAGAGACTCCAGCTGGAGCACTAATTGATGAGACTAAACACATAAGCAATCTGCAGTATTCAGTTTGGGAAAAAATGGCAGATATCATACTATACAGTAAGTAAACTATTTTAAAATGGTGTATCTTTTAAATTTGTAAATGTTTTTCCTATCAAAATATGTCTTACAGGGTTATTAATATGTTTTTTTTTGTTCCATGCATCTGTTTCTCAAGCTCCTGTTACTCTGGATCCCAACACCTGCAGCAGCCATATAACTGTATTGGATAACCTTACTAAACTGGTAGAAAATTCTAATTTTGACTCAATTCCTGATAATCCTGAAAGGCTACGCTGGGTAGACATTCTTGGTGCTCAAGGTTTTAACTCTGGTAAACATAGCTGGGATGTGGAAGTGGATGGTCTGTGGACTGTAGGTGTGGCTACTAAAACAGAATTTGCTGGTTATCGAAAATCATGGGCAATTTATATATGCCCTTGTACCGATGTCCTACGTAACCTTACTCTAGGGGATTACATCACAGAAATCAATGTAGATCCATATCCTAAAAAAATCAGGGTGTACTTTGATTATAACAAAGGAATATCATTTTTTGACCTTGATCGAAAAAAGATGGTGTATGCCATAGAATACACTTTCACAGAAACAGTCTATCCATACTTTCGTGGAAATGTTAAAATTCTACCAACTAAATTATCAGTCCGTATAGAGCCTCGTTGATCATCATTCTAGAAGCATTTTAAATCAAGCTTTCTGAATTTTGACCTTCTTGACAAAACTTTCATTAACATGTATTTTGCTTTTTTTCTTTATGGTAGTAAATTAGCATTGTTCTTATTTTGTATCAAGTTGACAAGCAGTCCATGTTATTATGTTTCCCCACTAAACATGATCTACATGGGCTTGTTAAGATAAATCCCTGGAATTCCAATGAGTTTGCCAGGTGGATTGAGGAATTTTGAAATGTGTGTCCAGAATCCTGCCACTGTTATTTTTGCCAATGGCCATATTGCACTATTGTAATTTGTAAACTATAATTGCATTATGTCTACATATTTTCACTGTAAAACATTTTTTTTCCCTGTATAACCAAGGTAAGATAGGAAATGTATTCAACTTGAAAAAAAAAAATGTATAACAACATTTTCAGGTTTCTCTTGATCAATGCTAAAGACCTCCATTTACTTTATGGATTAAAAGTATTACTGTCCAAACAGTTACCTAATATTCTTTTTTTTTTCTTTTTTTTTTTTTTTTTGTGAAATGCAATAATGTGGTGTTGTTAGAAAATTAGTACAATGAAATCTACTCCTTTTAACATTTTCTGATTTGTTGATTTTTTTTTTTTTTGTATTATTTTTGTTTATTCACACTTTGCTTTCCATATGAATGTAGAATGTGTACTGTTTTGGAGCATTTGGACCACAAGCCAGCCTATTTTATTCATCGACAAAGGTTTATTATAGTATTTCTGTGAGCAGTTTTCACATGATCTGTCTTACATTTAGATGTTTCATTGTGTAATTATGAATCCTGGTAAGAATCCAATATTGGTTTTTGATATGATGTCTTTGAAATAAAAGTTTTAGCTTTACATGTAGGTAAATTAATGTGCATAGTTATTTTTAAATAATTATGTAAAGTGAAGTCTATCCAATTTTATGTAGTGTTTTTTGTTAAAAATGTTACAAGGTTGACCATTACTTAAATTAAAATAGAAAACTTTCAAGAAAATCTGAAATTATACAGCAGAATATGAGATCAATATGCATGTTAAGTGTTTAGGATATGTGTAAAGAATTTAGAGGGATTTAGATACTTTAGTTTTTGCTTAGTTATCATTTAATCCATTCACCTGGCAAGGAGAAAGGAAAAAGCCAAATTATGGTGATAAAAAGACAGATTGAATATACCAAGGAAAGGAGGGAATCAGACAGATATAAGACTGACTAAAAGCCACTTCATTTTAATTCCTGTTGCACAAAGCAGCAGAAACCTGCATGCAATAGCTTAAAATGAAGTAACTGTCCATGCTTTAACATTTCCCTACTAAAGCAACCACAACAGTTGCATGAAAAGTGGAGAATTGTGGGTTTAACTCACAGTCCATATTTCAAGATTCTAACAATGCCTCTGATTACAAAATATGTCCAAGATTGACCCAAATCAGAGCAGTCAGGGTTTTGTATGGAGATAAATGAGCACATGCATGTAAATGCACATGTGCACTTCCATACAGCCGCTTTACCATCTGTTCCTTGTTTCCAGGACCCTTCTGATCACATTTTAACTTATATTTTTGCGGCCTGGATATCTTCAGAGTAGCTGTAGGTACACGGCACTGTCGTTTGTTTCCGTCTTCAAGGGCTTTTTTGTTTTGATTGGCTCTTATGCTGTATTCGGCGGCAATCACTAAAGAATTTGAGCAGCAAGGATGCTTAGCAATCATTGCTATGAAATCCAAAATGATCAGACACACATACACACACACTGGTCTGATTACTACTTTATCTGGTGATTATAATGCTATAGATGTAGGTTGAACCTGCAAGTAAAACTCTGAGAGATATTCTTTGGGTAAATGTTTTACATTTTATAAGAAAAACAATTTTTTTTATAATTTCAAATTAAATATTCTGTGCAGGTTTTTTTCCCGGCTTCAATATTCATCTTATTTTACATATCCACTAAAATGCTTACTTACACACACACTCTTGCAGAGGTTACCCTCCATGTTAAAGTGCTGTGATAAAGTGCTGTCTGCTGTTCTTTCACTCTTGAAGTCCCCTGAGAGTAGATCAATACTAGCTTAGCATTAAGTTACAGCTAATGTCTTCATGTTTTTAACCAGGCGATGTGTGGGTGGGCTCCATGAGCCTCTGTGTGTGTGTGTGTCTGTTTGTCCCTGACATGACCCAAGTTATAATTATCATTAAATGTCAATGAAGGCAATAGGAAGAGTTTGGCTCTATATTAAAGCCATAAATTACAACTCCTCCTCCTGAAGTGTAAGAAAGGCTTAATTCAAATCTCTTTAATGTCAGTTATCAGATGACCTTGAGTGTTTATACCTCTATTTTTGATTTTTACATTCACAGTAGTACAACTGTGTAATTTTGAATAAATAAGGCCACTTTACATTACATTAGCTAAATTACATTGTAATGAGGCAGAGAATAACTCTGAAAAAGAGACCCAAATGATCTTAGATCCTCTACTGTATTTAGCAGTAGACATATTTTCCCCACATTTGATGTGGTTTGATTCACTTCTTGTTTTATTCATGATCCATCTGGAGATTTTATCTGAGAAAAATTAAATCAATTTATGTGGCTCCCTTTCTCGGTGTTAACTGCAATGTGTGAAAACAAGAAAAAAAAATGTTTTCTAATATTGTATATGCTATGCCAGTTAAACTTTTTATAATATTCTGATTGTAGACAAGTGCAAGGTAAGCCCATTAGCCTTTTCCTCTGGTTATTTCCTGATTTATAACTGGCTCTACTTTAATGCTATTTTTTCAGTCTTTGTTATTTGAGAGGGTGGTAAAGAAATTGGCCTCTGTAAAGTTTCATATTTATGACCCTGAAAAACAAGAGCGCAGACTGCTATATAACTGTTTAAAGACTGCCTGATAAATTAAAAAAGTCAGGTTAAAATAAAAAATTTTTTTTAGCTCTCTTTTATAGAAATTGCTTTGTGAATAAAGTACAGCATTATAAATTGTAAAAAAGAAAAAAAGATTTATTCATTTTGTTTTTCAACACTGTACAATTAGCTGAAAATTAAGGGTATATTTTTTCTTTTTATGTGACATTGCTCCAGTGAAAAATAGGTTTCTTTGTTCGGTGTGTTTTTCAAAGGAAAGATGAATTGAAATTTGTAAACTGACCGTATTTTACAGAAGATAAATTTGTCATGCATAGGTAAATATTAGGGCAATTACCTTGACAGGAATTGTCTCTAAATACCTAGTACAGATATGTCTAGTACTGATTGCCCTCAGTAAATGGTTGGTAACAAAGCCATTTCAGTGCATACATGCAGAGGCTTTCTCCCAGGATTGCAGTTTCCTTCCAAAGTTTAGCAAATGTAAAGGTTAACTGGTAATTCCAGTTTTAATTTTGGTGGTCAGACAAGTTTTCATGACTGTTTGTCTTTTGTTCCTGTTTGTTTGCATAGAAATAGAGCACGAAATGAGACGCCTAGCAGCTATGAAGTTGTGGAATACATACATTTGGGAAAATTAATTGCCTCCTTTATTTGTTGATACATTTTCAATATCAAAACAGTTTTAATTTAAACATTTCAGTATATATTTTTGAAAAGTTATTTAAAAGCGGCAGAAGTAGAAGGTTCTAACAAATGCTATTTTAGTCTAAAACTTGTTAACTACCAATCGCCCCTCCGTCCGTTTATCCATCCATCCATCCATCCATCCATCCATCCATCCATCCATCCATCCATCCATCCATCCATCCATCCATCCATCCATCCATCCATCCATCCATCACATAAAAAAATTAACTTTGATCTAGTTTTATAAATCAGAAAACCTGTCAGCCCACCTTTCCCTTTCTTACTGTCACTTGCAGCTTCCCCTTATTTTGCCACCCAAATCAATCTCTCCCTCCGTCTTTGTAATGCACTCTTTCATCTGCTCTCCTATTTCTCCCCATCTCTATGCTACCCGTTCTGCTTCACCATGAGGTCTCTTGGCTCCTTTGTAGGCCCTCCACATTTTTGGGCGTAATGTGATCCTCTTATCCCTCCCCGGGGTGGTCCACTCCTCCCATTCAAATAACAAGCTCTGGCTAAATGTAACCAATGATAGGAGGGGAGACATGAAGTTAGATTTGATAATGGGTTAAAAGGAAAACAGGGATTTTCTTTTCTATTTGTATACTTAAAAGTGATATTCAATTTTTGAATGTGTATTAATTACATCATTATTGTGAAGATCTTTTTCCTAAAAAAAATATAAACCTGTCCTTTTTTTCTTAGCATGTTAACCCTTACTTTTAATTCTTTAACAGAATGCAGACTAAGTTGATGGCTGCTTTTTTGTGTTGCTGTTGGGTTTTCCAAGAGAGTATGAGACATC